GGTGGAGGCTTCCACTTGCACTTCCTCTTATCAGAAGCAAGCACCATCGTCCATAATCAAAGCTGCCCTTGGGTGAACTCCTTTACTGGGCATTTTTTTTTTAAAAACACGCTGAAAGCGGCGTGATTCTCAACAATACACAGGCCACGGGATGCCAATTTACCATTGAAAAGACACACAAAGGAAGCAGACTGACGTGACCACTCAAGACACACAATACAAACTCTCTCTCCCCGAAATAAGAATGGATTATTTTTTTGGAAAATGTCAGAAAGTAAACGCTTGAGTGGATTCTACAAGATGACAAGAGGACATGAGAAATAAACAACTGCAGACACTGGGATAACCACTGCGATCATGCATGTTGCAAAGTTCTGTCAAGCGAGCAGTTGTTGTTAAGAACATTCACTGTTACACAGTTTAGCATACGCAAAGATACGAAATTTTACGTGCCTACGCGTGAACGTAAGCGCTCTCGAGAGCTAGATTTTAACTTGCAGATTCGCTGTGCAAGAAATTTAACCTCTAAACTAAATTTAGATCGCACATAAATATAAAATATTCTTGCAAAATTCCAGCTTCGCAACCTGTCTAGCACCCGTAAGCATCACTTCACTGCAAATATGTTTGATATGCCCCAAACTGTTGCACAACTGCATCATCTTAACATCATTTGCATATACGGACGACCAATACTCTGACGAAATTATAGCTTTTCGTTTTCCTAGTTCTCGGGCTGGCACGATGCCAGCTGTGAATACTTACATGAGCGTATGCATAACACAAGCGTATGCAACAGCCTAATTTGAAATCCTCCACTCACATATTAAATATTTTTAATAAAAGTTTACGTATTTTTAATTTACATATTTTCAGGATAATTTCAACCCCTTAGGTTTCCTGGTCCACTCGCTTCCACACACACACACGCACACACATGCACGCGCAGGCATACACGTACGCATACACTTACATACACACGGACAACTTCTAGACAATATGTGTTTTTGCATTTGTATAAGATGCATAAACGCATAATAAAATAAGATCCATCGATGAAGCAGCTTTGGCAACGTTGGAAAGAATGCTAGCTGCTGTTGCTGGCTAAGTGCCCAATAAACGAAACGATGATCCGGTTCAGTGTAAGCAAAACAAAGTCAACAAAATGTTGAACACGTGATGAGATCATGAAATTCAATGAGGAAACTAGCGTCCAAATCAATCATCGCATCAAACTCAAATTCCTTCAGCCCCTGTCCATTGTATTCCACTTTTTATGACAGATAAGAAGGTAGCAATCGGAAGTAGTTCCAGTTGTAAAACAACAATGTCAAGAGCAAATAATCGTTGGCGGAGCCGCCAATGGCTCCCTTATTTCGAATCACTTTTCAGCTATCAGCATTCATTGACATTTTCATTTCAGTTTCTATTTTATCACCACTCCAACACCACTGGTCTCAGAGTGTAAACCCCAACAGCTTGACAAGTGCGATTCGCATTCAGAAAGTTTGCTCCTCAAAGATACGCTGCGAACTTTGAAACAGAGCTCTGCAGACTTACACCCTTTTGCATGGTTTTGCAGACTTCAAAACCTGCAAGCTAACCGACGATAAAGCAAATCGACCCAAAGCGCAAACAGTCCGCAACGTGAGGGGTTAGTATTCATCAAATTTGGAGTCGCGAATGTCGCAAGTGTAACGTTTTTCCCATATTTTCCCACAGAAACTGGTAAATCCGGTACTGCAAAAACAGGTTTTTTCTTTCAAATCTTCACACATCCCGATGCTAGCCTTCTGCTCAAAATCCGACAATTTCGTAAATCTCATTTTTTTGGATTTCCATTTCTTCTTTCTCTTTTTTCCTCCCCACTCTCTCTCCCTTATGCTCAAGAAATTGAGCAGTATAATGTAAAGCATCCTGAGCAATTGGCATAAAAATAATTCAGAGGATTTGTGTCCTTTACTAAAAATCAAAACCTCTTTCACAATCCATTTTTTATGTAACATGAAGTTAATAGGAACGGCACCAGTGATTTTGCATGTGCCAAGAGCAAAAATCCACTGACAAATCGAAAGAAAGGAAAAGCAGACAGGCACGTTAAGTCTCTTTCCCCTCCTCTGTAACTTTATTTTTTGTTTTTTTTTTGCATGATCTCTACGCCAAGAATTGGTATTATCAAGAACTAACTTATGATCATGATCATCGACCTTACATACAGTTTTAATATTAATCCGTACATAGCCTTATATTGATTATT